AATAGATGGAGTCATCAAGTCCATATTTTCCTGATGCTTTTGTAACTAAATACTCCAATGCTGATATACAACACAGGCAGTCAGTGTAAGTTTTGCACAGTGTGGATGTAAGTGTAACTACCCCATAAAGAGAGTGCCACAGAAACTGTGATGTTGGTACCATTCCAGTAAGGAATCGGCTAACGTGCTGGTGGGGCTGTCTGGCTTTAGCTGAACTGGGTTTATATGGTGAGTTCAGTGACACGGTTTTTGCTTTTTCTCTTGTAGACAAGGGAAAGTGCTGCTGAGAACATGTCACCTACTGATTCCTCCACCAGCCTTAACAAAGAAGAATTGTTGAAACTGCTCAGTATTTTTGAATCCAGAATGTCATTCCTTCTCCTCCAATCCATTAAGTTGTTAACTTCAACCAAAAAAAAGATTGGGTAAGTTAAACCATGATATGCATGTGTAGATGTGATTCCCATCCATAAATCCATAACTGTGACTCTTTAGCCTGCTAGAACTCTGTGGTATGTATTCTTTTATGGACGTGCCTCTTGTGCAGAGGAGGAGCTGAGATATACCTCAACTGTCTGAATTGTCAATGTTTTCTGTGCGTTTGTATGTAATTGAGGCAGTGACCATCATCTCTGCATGTGTCTAGGTAGCTTTTTTCTCCTCTTTCCTGATAGCAATCCATGACTAAGGGCAAAAGTGAGACTTGAATTGCTACATGTTCCACTGAATGATTGGAAAATCATAGTTTAATCATCCTCTGAAATGCATGGAACAGTTATGAGTCACTGGTGCTGTGTTATGCTCAGTGGTATCCAGCTGATCCTTCAGAGGATATAAATCCTGTGTCCTTCATAGGTATAAATCACACACAAAGCCATAATTTTAACAGAATTTTAAGCCATAACTTGCACTGTCATAATTTTCTGGCCTACTTCTCATTGGTTTTGGTTCATCAAACTGTTCAGGGAATGAGGTATGTATATATGGAGTTCCTTATGTTGGCTGACATTGGTCTTCATCTGTGACAGAGCATGTGAAAGTTAATGGGGGAGTAACTCCTATGTACTGCTGGTCTTTTCACGTCTTGATAATAAAGTATGTTGGAGACAGTGTAGTTTAGCAAGCAGAATACATGCAGGTGCTGCATTAGTGCTGTAAATAGAGAGGGATGGATGCGGGGAAGATGCTCATTGGCCTTTAAGAAATTTCTGATGTTAGATAATGTATGAAAATGTGCCATTAGTGCTAGTGTATCCTTCTAGGGGATTCTTCTGTTGTTGGAAGCTGTGTTAATAGCTTCTCAGATGGAAGTGCTGGTGCCAGTGCTGTTTTGCCAACAGTGAAGTGTGAAATGGCATCATTCTGCACAGGAAGATTTCTGCTGCTAGAGGAAGATGAATAAATAGAGAAACGTGAGACACGAGGAAGCTGTGCACTGCCTGAGTTCTTGTTTTTAGCACAGCATTTAAGCGCTTTCCTTTCTAAAAAGCTTCCACAAGGTGGCAACCTGAATATGTGGAATGCAGAGGATGCCATTAAGATTCATACCTAACGCAGCAGATGTCCCAAGTAACCGTGTAAATTGGTTTAGTTCTGTTGCCTCCTAAGTGTTGTCAAAGGTTTTTGGTTTGTGGGTTTTTCCCCTCTGTTGCTTTCCCATTGTCTCTCTCGAGTAGGGTTTTCTATTGAAGATTCCCTACAGGGAAAGTGTTACAGTTTGAATGCTGTGAAATGGGACTGTTGTTACAGCAGGTTACACTTGTTTAAACAATAGTGGATTGAGGCTCAGCTTGAAGCTGCCTTTTGCTTTACCTTTCTAAGTACCTCATGTACATCTCACGTGTTTCCTCCATTCTGCTCTGTAGAGGAAAACATCTGCCTTCTGTTTAGTAACAGGCTGAAAGGGAGGAGGTTGAGCTCACAAATGCTATTTCACGTTTCAGATGCACTTTGGCAGAGAACATGGTAAAACTGAGTGGTTTGATAGTGAAACTTGCAGACTAGCAATGAAACCAGATGAAATTGGAGCCTTACCCTCTAGAAGTTAAAAGCATGAGCATAACTGAACTTGGCTGTGTATATCAGGGGAAAGAAGTAACTGAAAGTAATACTTGGTTCTGGGAATTCTTGTAACTTACCCTGGAAATACTTTGCACCTCAGTGGCTTTTATTGACTGCCTGTTCTGATCAATAAGGAAACCTCTCTGATTTCTGCCTAGTGTTAGGAATTTAATGGTGTTTCACCATTTCTTAGTAATTCTTGAAGCATTTGCAACGAATCTGATGTATAATTAATGTACATGATTAATATGTACACAACCATGCTTTATTTATAACACCAATGCCAGTATTTTAGGGTTTTTCTAGTTTAGCTCACTTGATTGTCAGTCTTGGATGTTAAATGTGGCATGGTAGGAAATGAAAGATTCCAGTGGAAACACAGGTCAGATTCTTCCACTGGGATAGCCATCAGCGTTATTTAATAACTGTTTGATAACTTGCAGAATCCAGTCCTGTGCTCAGGTTAATAGCCTGTATAACCTGCTTTGTTATTAGGGGCATTAATGAAGAAGAAGCTGTTCTTCAAACCAACAAGCAGGTTTACTCCCTTCTCCTGCGGGCAACTGCCAACAGAAGCCTGACTCTGCTGGAGCGGGTGGAAGTGATCCTGAATTTACTGGAGCAGCTCACTCAGAACTCAGACACAGGCAGTGCAGGAATCCAGTGACTGCCCTGCTGTGGAACAGCCCAACAGTGCCTTGCTTCACATGGGATTGGTGGTACTGTATCTTTTCCCATGCGATATTCCTATTTATTGCAGGTGATAAGAGAGCCTGCATTGTTACATTGTACATGTGGGGAAAAAGCAGGAATTCCTGTTTATCCCATGAGCCCTCTGCAGTGGTGTTTCTTTGTTTGAAGTGCCACATTGGGGTTCTGCATAGAAACAGAAACACTCTCGTGTTGGAGAAATTCCCTGTTTTCCAGATAAGAACTTTGCAATGGTATCAATGTCTTGCATACAAATGTAATCTCACAGTTGCTCCGAGTTGATGTTTCATGGAATACACTTTGTAAGCAAGGCTGGATTGAAACACTTTAACCCATAATGTCAGCTTGGAGCTGTACAAGCAAGTTTCTGTTGCATATATGGGCACACTACTATTAGTAGTTACTATCCTGCACAGAGATGTGTGCCTTTTCAGGTGTGCTGCAGGACTCTGCCAAACAGTGGCCATCACTGGGCTTCACTCCAGCAAGTTGAGTGGGTTTAGCTGTGTTTGGATTAAGAAGAGTATTATTATGTTTTTCAGACTTGAAACTGTGAATAAATGAGAGCATATTTTTAAATAAAATCTATTTATTAAATACAAACTGCTGCATGGGTCTGCCTTGGGGTTACTGGTGATGGCAGCAACACCCTCTGCTCACCAGAATGAAAACTATGGGAAAGGACGAAGAGATTGGAAATTATCCAACTCAGGCCTAACAAGTGAGTCTTGTCTTAAAATGTGCAGGCTCTGTTTTTTGGAAGTAAGTATAATTTCAGAGAATTGCAGAATTTGGGCTGGAAGAGACCTTAAAGCTCATCCAGCTCCAGCCCCTGCCATGGGCAGGGACCCCTTCCACTGGAGCAGCTTGCTCCAAGCCCCTGTGTCCAACCTGGCCTTGAACACTGCCAGGGATGGGGCAGTCACAGCTTCTCTGGGCACCCTGTGCCAGCGCCTCAGCACCCTCACAGGGAAGAGCTTCTGCCTAAGAGCTCAGCTCAGTCTCCCCTCTGGCAGGTTCAAGCCATTCCCCTTGGCCTGTCCCTACAGGCCCTTGTCCCAAGCCCCTCTCCAGGTTTCCTGCAGCCCCTTTAGGCACTGGAGCTGCTCTAAGGTCTCCCCTTCAGGAGCCTTCTCCAGGCTGACCCAGCCTGGCTCCGGAGCAGAGCTGCTCCACCCCTCGCAGCATCTCCATGGCCTCCTCTGGACTTGCTTCAGCAGGTCCATAAATACTTCTGAGATTCTATTTCATCCTAAGAATTGGAACTCCTTGAGAAAGCAAAGTGGCTGTTTTACTGGGCCCAGGCTGACTGATGAATCCACACATGCAATTTGACATCAGTTCACAGTAACATAATTAGGCTCAGATTAACTCTTACTCTTGGTACAGAGCATCTCACCTAATAGGGAATTCAGGTCATAGACTCAGTATTAAGCTAATAGAAATTTACAGCAAATGAGGATTTCTCTGTTAGTCTGTGCACCTCAGCACTGCACTGAATGACTTTCATGGGGATTATAATTAAGTTTATTATGATTTAAATCTGCTCTGAATTCCTCAGCAGTAGCAGTGGTGCTAAATGGGATTACTGTTTCCTCTTTCACAGATAAACAACTCGAGCATAAACCACATCCAAAACAGACACCTCTAACACCATTATTAACTATGATAAGTCAGTTTATTTTGCTGTTAATAAATCCTCCTCCTTTACAGGAATAGAAACCAAAACCTCATTTCTGGGACTCTGTACTGGAGGGATAGGGAATGGTAATAGCTGACCTGCTTTTAGCTCCACATGGTGCAGCTTCACCCTAAGAATGGTCCTATTCCACTGAGTATCTACAATCATCATTTGAATAACATCTGAAAAGCAGAACAATGAACAAGTAAGCTTTACAACAGGAAACACCTTATTGTGTGTATGGTTTTCATCTACAAAAGAGCAGGATGGGTGTAGAACTGATTCTACAGACACATGAAAGCCTTACCTGGTGTGTAGGTGCTACCTGAGGTGATACACTGAACTTATCTCACTGTACTCTGAGGCAGATCAGCCTCTCACACTGAGCTTTCAAGGAATAACCACATGAACTATTTACACTGCACACATGAGAAAAGGGAAGTAACTTATGCTTTAAGGGATGCTGGACAAATCCTGGACTTCTTCTACGTTAGGTGCCAGCTTCTCACACCAGATGAGGACAGTGTTGCGTATCCCTGAAGAAAGCAACAGGTCTGCAAATAAACCTTCTACAGCACTGAGTTCAGCTTCAAAGTCACACTGTGCTCATTCAGGTCCAGAGCAGTTGTGTAGGTGAAGGGCTTTCTGGATTCCAGTGGCGAGGGCCTGGGGAGTGGGGCTCTCTGCAGTGCAGCTCACAGGGATTCCTGCTGCTTCCATGGCTTCGGCTGTCGTTGGACCGATGGCAGCAAACTGGAATGATGGTATTACAGTTACAGTTAACAACAGGTTAAGTATGGCATCAGCTCTGACTCACTGAGGTATGCAACCTCCCTCCCGTGCTGCACTGTCACTGTATTTCATCATACTAAAGCTTTTATCCATTTCAGGTTGAAGAATCTCAGTATTAAAACCTGCTCATCAGTGGAGATGGGGTCAGTTAATTGGAGAAAATACTTCCAGGTGAAATTCCTTTTTCTTTCTTTTATAAAGGCTCTCAGCTATATAGTAACATCTGTATTTGCTGTTACCTGGGATTTTTGCAGAGAAATAAGCACAAAGGGAGAAAAAGAAGGTTTTTAAGAGGTGTAACAGCTTTTCTCTCTCATTCGCAACCCCAGGCTTACTCCCTGTTGTATGTCACCACTTGTGAAGAGACAATACCTTGATATGATTGATAACATCTCCTGCAAGCTTCTGAATGTGCTGGAGGCAAAATCTGACACCAGATGGACTGAAGAACACGATACTTGCTGGAATTCCCTGAGTAAAAGTAACCACAGGTTGGCATGGATTCTTCACTCTTCCCAGTACACTTTCTCACAACTGTGTTTATATGTTTGGGAAGTGTTATTATTGATGAGAAAACACAGTTAACTAAACCAAGAGAAATGGTTTCCTGTGGTGCAGGCAGCAACCCCCCAGTTCCACCACAGAACACTGAGATTAGCATGTAACTATAAACAAGTACTTCGTCACAAAAGTGCTCGGAGATAAATACCCTGAAGTGTTCTGGAGCTGTTCTCATTCTGTTCAGCCAAAAACTCAGCAAGTTATTTCCCTGATTCATAGAACCCCAGCCTGGTTTGGGTTGGAAGGGACCTTAAAGCTCATCCAGTCCCAACCCCTGCCACGGGCACGGACCCCTTCCACTGGAGCAGCTTGCTCCAAGCCCCTGTGTCCAACCTGGCCTTGAGCACTGCCAGGGATGGGGCAGCCACAGCTTCTCTGGGCACCCTGTGCCAGCGCCTCAGCACCCTCACAGGGAAGAGCTTCTGCCTAAGAGCTCAGCTCAGTCTCCCCTTGGGCAGGTTCAACCCATTCCCACAAGGAATATACTGCAATGTATTATCAGTGTCCAATACCTGTTGTGAGAAATAACTGCTCAAAGACTCCTGTAGATGAGCATGCTGGGTTGTTTGATAAACAGTGAGGCTTTCCAGAGGTACACCTGCAATTAGGATACACAGCCATCATTAAACAGGGCTTCATTAATTTCTATCCTTTCAGTAAAATGCTCCACATACAAATCACATTTAAGTGTATCATTTTAGGCTAAAAATATAGAGGAAAACAAATCTTGTGAAAGATTTGTAGGTGCTTCTAGTTGCAAGATATCCCAAAGCATCTGTAAACCAAAGACCTCAAAGCACACTGGATACCAGGCAATTCTGGCATCACTTTCATGCATGAGCTACCTTCCATCCTACAGATGAGAACCCAAGTGAGGAACAAGGCAAATAACCATGTAGCTCAGTCCCAGAGTTGGGGGCAGCAATCCCACCTTCAGTTTTCACTCCCATCTAACTTCTAGCTAACATAACAGCAAATCCAAGTTTTACTCATCCAAATTGGGTTCACAAGCTTTAGATCCAGCTTTTCTCACAACTGATGAATTAAAATGAGGCTCCAAGGGAGGTTCCACCTTTTTCTCTAAGTACTGTAGGAAGCACTTCTCTTTTCAGGGCTCCACAAGGAAAAAGAAGAGCTGAGGAATTGGATTTCTCTCCTGTAAACACACAAACAAGAACTTTAATTAACATATCTTTAATAAAAAGTAAATGTGATGCATTTAATACATCTTAAGGGTAACAAATGTTGAACACTGCAGTACAAGCCATGTGCTTCATCACCAACACAGCCCTAAGGTAACTTGCAGTGCATCCACAATTCAGAGGACAGAGGTATTTAGCATGTACATTACAAGTATTCCATAACTATAATAATATAAGAGATGCTTGTAATCAATTATAGGAAGGAAGAATGAACTTGGGACAGAATGTAAAAAGAGGTTTTTAAATACAAAGATAAAACCTAACTACTTCAGCTTAAACCTCCCACAGCCCATGTCAGTTAATTGCAATGTCAATGTGATGCCTATAAGGAAACACTAATCCTTTCTAACCTGTGTTTATGAAGCACAGAAGTCCTTAGTAGGCCTGAACAATACAAGCAGCACTGGCCCTTGTGGTATTCCCTAATCCATAACCCACACCAATGTTACACTGTAATAGAACTAAAGTGTATTCATTTGCCTTGCAAAGAGAGTAAACGCAGGTAGTTAAGGAATAAACTCCTTTATTTTTCCCACTTAAGTTGAAGTGGGGACCAAAGCACAAGAGGTGAATAACAGAAGAAATATCATTACTTCAGATTTAATTTTATCTCATTACTTCAGATTTAACTCTTGACACTAAATCCTAATGGTATAAACAATGTAGAGCTTTTCATTTACTTATAATTTTATGCATAAACAAATATAACATGCATAACAGGGAACATGATGTAATTTAATCTGTACTTCAGGAGTTGTTATAAACCATATGATAAATGGAGAGCATATAAATACACGCAATCCAATAAATCATGGAGTGTGATTATAGGTAACAAGAAGCAGCAGTCCCCAGTGATTGAAGTTCACTGTTTGCTTATCAAAACTGAAGGGTGTTCAAAGGCAGGCATTTTTCCAAGGATAATGGAAGTGTTGCAGTGTTGTGTTAAACAGCTGCTGGTGTTCTGGTATGAAACCACTCTCTGGATATGCTCTGTAAAAGGCTGGAACACACAGCTCTGAGAGCAGCCTGAGGAGAAGGACCTGGGAATAAACCATGACCTGGCTTCAGTGTGCACTTGCGCTGGTGGCTGCACTCACCAGCAGTGAGCAGCAGTCGAGGGAGACACAAACCAGTCTAGGATTTAGGGGCAGTGGGTTTAAACTGAAACAGAAGAGGTTCAGGTTTGATATAAGGAAGAAGTTCTTCCCTGTGAGGGTGGTGAGGCACTGGCACAGGGTGCCCAGAGAAGTGGTAAATGCTCCATCCCTGGCAGTGTTCAAGGCCAGGCTGGACACAGCCTTAGGTGACATGGTCTAGTGTGAGGCATCCCCTACCCATGGCAGGGGGTTGGAACTGGATGAGCTTTAAGGTCCCTTCCAACCCAAACCGTTCTATGATTCTGTGATTCTCTGTGCTGGGTATCAGAAATGCTGCTGGCTCTGGATTGAACCTCTCTGCTCTCCCCATCCAGCTCCCTCTGACTGCCAGCTCCTAACTATGGAGGAACTTGCAGGCAAAGCAGGGAACAGTCTCAGGATCAAACACAGCCATTAAGTATTGGATCTGTGAACCCAGCAGCTCCCACACGAGGAGGAAGAGCCAGGCTGACCCTCAAAGGGACTCCAATTAACTAAGATGTTACAACGCAGTAACTGTGCTACCACAGGCTCACCAAGGTCAAGTTTTTCTGCTCCTGTTACTACATGGATTGTCTTCCTTAGACCTGATCTTAGGTTCTTTCACATTCACATACAACAGAAGACACAGGTATTTTTCTCATCTTCCTTCTCTAAAAAGCAACCAACCTTCATCTGCAAACTGGCAAACACTAATTCACTATCAGAAGCAGACTTTCTAGCACTAAAACGTCAGCTAAAACCTTTCTTTGGTTTAAAGTATCTGTTGGATACTTTGGTTATTTTTCACTTAATGGCATTTTTGTGTTGAAAATTTTAGTATTCATTATTTAATCTTGTGTTGGCAACTATCACTTTTAGCCTGAAATATTCCATATAATTAAAATATCTTATTTGCACATGAGTTACAGAGCACCCACAAAAAACAATACTTGCCAGCTCCTATCACATTTTACTTCTATTTCTCTGCTACTATGCAGATCCTGCTAACCAATAGGCTCTTTCATATGGCTGGATGTGGTTCTGAGCAACCTGGTATAACTGAAGATGTCCCTACCCATTGCAAGCTTTAAAGGTCCCTTCCAATCTAAACTATTCCATGACTGTATATCAAACATTATGCCTAACAGCCAAAATCAATGTGTCAGGGTTCTTGACATCATTTCCACTCCTGAAGCACCCAGCACCTTATTCAGCAGGTTCACAAAGAGTGGTCAGCAGCAGGGCTTTGAAACCAGCAGATACAGTCATTCACCCAACATCCAGAATAACTGCAATTGTCTCTGTTGTTCTCTCACCAGGGTGAGCCAAAGGCACACACTATTTACCTGACTGGCTCAATGATGTGGCTTTTCAAAGCCACAAGCTCTGTTCAATGAGTGGACCCTGAATCAGGCTCTAGGTGTTTCCCTTTTTAAATCGGGGGCTGAAAGTCCTTCAATGAAATATATACCTGAATATATATACCTGTATCAGACTGAAAGCTACCCTCTCATTTCATTCTGAGCTCCCTATGGAAAATGCATCCCAGGCCGTACAAAGTACAAAGAAACTCTGCCAGCTATCAGGTTGCTGCAGAGACACTGAACCTTAAGTGTGATTTTCATCTTGTACAAAGCCTATTCGAGCAGCCAGTTTCAGAGGGCCTGGGGACTATTCTGTTGCTAACTGTTCCTCCCAGCAGATAGATGTACACTTTGAAGGCGCTGAAAACTAGGGTACCTCTGAGGCCACATGTTAATCCTGAGGAAAGGAGCTCCCCTGATTGACTTTCAGCTATGGCACAGCAAAAAATCCTCAGCACCAACTGGTTTAAAGCAAGGACAGTCAGGTCAGCCTAAAGTTCCCAGAGAACAAGCACACCTATTGTCATGATCATTTAAATCTTATGATTAAGCAGCAATCTCCAGTCATTACAGCTCTGATCTTTTAGTACAAGAATACTCTGCCTACCGGGTCATACAGTATTAGTAACCATTTACAGAGTCTAAGATTTCATGTAAATTAGTACTTTGTATAGGTATTTAGAAGTATTTTTATCATCTTTTAGAGATATCACCCCCATTACCAGAAGCTGAATTCACAGGACCTACACACAAGATAGATTAGATAGACAGACAGATAGATAGATAGATAGATAGATATGTAGTATGTACTTCTCTGTTTCAGTGTGTGCTCAATGCTATTTACAGGAAGTTCTGAACCAATGGGAGGTACATAAACTTCATTTAAGCAGATTGGAGGCACTTACTTGAGCAAATATATTCGGCTAATTTCTCAGCATTTCCAGACTTTTCTCCCTGTGGAGTAAGGCCGATTTCTTCCACTAGAACCAGAAGCAGCAAAGAAAACGATTGAAATCAATGAGGGCAATTCACATTTACAGTCACAGAAACACAGAGACACAACTTGATCCTAACACACAAACACTTCTTTGAAAAGAAAAAAAAAATAGTAGTGATATGCTATGAAAAATGTGATTTTTGCTCTAGGAAGACATGCATGAAAAAGTAGAAATGAGGAATTCTGGGGATAACTAAGCTGTTGGGGGACTTTTTAAACTCCTGTACTTGAAGCAGTGAAACAGAAAGCACTGTCTGGCTATGCATGGGCTGCAGTTCCTGGCATGGTTTGGTTGTAGCTTCCCACTGAGCATTATCCCTGTCCTCTCTAATGAAGCCTGAAAGCCGATTGGAAAATCTCCTCTTATTTAAGCACATACGTAGGGATAAGATGAATCCCTTAGAAATTAACTAGGCTGGGACTTGACTGATTCAAGATGCATGTTAGGTGTCACTAGTTGGTGATCTAGTGCTGCTACCAGCCTGCCTGAAGAAACACACCAGGACATTTCCAGATTTCTTGTTGTAGAAGCAGAAAAACATCCAGATTTTCCCAGTTCTCAAATCCTAGTCTTTCCATGGTATTCCCTGTGTAGTTCAGTGGAAGCTAAAGCTACAATGCAATTTTACAGCAACAAGGGCTTTCATGAAGTACAATCTGTGTTGTATGTTTGCTAGGCACCAAAAAGGTGTATTGCACCAGAAGAAAATCAGTGTTGAGATAAGGCAGTTGGAACACTGATGTGAATGGGAAGTAGAGTGGTGCCTTCTGCCTGGCAAAGAACACAAAGAACACTGAGGGTAAGAACAGCCAGTGCACTGAACCTTATACAGTCATAATTCCCTTCATCCGATTTCATTTCCAAAGTGAATGAGAAAAAAGCGCATATAAATTAAGTACAAAGGGGGTTTTGTCATTTTTTCACCAAATCTTTATAAAGTTGTTACCACCACATCACAATAAAGACAGTGGGAAACTAGAAGGTTTGTCCTTAGCTGAAGTAAGCATGTGGAGTTCTGATCCGTACACAATTACCTGTCATCAAAATTACCCATTTGTAATATCATAGAATGGTTGAGGTTGAAAAGGACCTCCAGTTCCAACCCCCTGCCATGGGCAGGGACACCTTCAACTAGACCCATGTTGCCCAAGGCTCTGTCCAGCCTGGCCTTGAACACTGCCAGGAATGCAGCATTCACCACTTCTCTGGGCACCCTGTGCCAGCGCCTCAGCACTGTCACTGGAAGAACTTTATATCTAACCTGAACCTCCCCTGTTTCAGTTCGATCCCATTACCTCATGTCCTATCGCTGTATTTTTTCTTAGCACCCCCGAACAGCAGCTAATACTCACAAAATTGTACTTACAAGAGAGATTTATCTAAGCCTTCTATTCCTAAACCCCAACTTACCTAAAGAAGCTGTTGCTTTTCCTACCACATACACTGGTTTGGTATCCCACTTTTGTTTAAGGGATTTTGACCAGGCTGAAAAACATTAAATTACATTAAATTTAAGCATGTAGCAACAAAATATGAATGTTAAATGAGCATCTGGACTTCAGTTAAATCTACAAATACAGCTAAACAAGAACAACTAATACTCCACTACATTCCAGCAAATCTGGATGCACTAAATGAATTTTTAATGTGCTTTTTCAGTGTAAACAGTCTATAACATGGTTTTAAAAGCTTCATTTGAGTAAACAGTTCTTAGCTGCTTTTGTTAAGCAGTATTTTTAGTGTACACTTGCCCTATGGTGGATGACACACAACTTGCAATGTTCATGTATATTTTGGCATTAAGAACTCAACTCACAGGAAAAAAGGCACGTAGTACAAAGGGAGATTTAGGCATACAAACTGGTGGTTTGCCATTGAAGGCTGAGGCAAAACAACCAATATAATATTCTATGCCAACAAATAAAAGGGTAAGAATCTACATCCATGCACTACAGTTCTCTATAAACTCTTTCCTACAGAAGACAAAAGAGAAACCGGTTATATTTTAAACAGACATCAAAACCAAGTTACCAACTTGGAAATCAAATGTACCCAAGACCAAAACAAAATTACTAGGCAATGGTTTTCCTCCTTCAGGCAGTAAGTTAGGGTGCCAGCTATCTGATCCCTAGGCCTGCCATCCTAATGGGTCAGAAACAGATACACTAAGTCTTTTACTCGTTTTAAAACAGTGCAGCACAGGACATTGTGTTCCTTTCCAGTGTTCTTGGGGGAAAAAACCAGAAGCTACAACAGTAAAAAAAGCAATTAGAGGAAACCATTCAATAGAAAGAAAAATCTAAGGATTTATTCAAAGTACCTTTGAAAGGAACCCAAATAGGAACTAAAGCCTAATTTTGTTGATTAAAATAGGTATTCCAGCAGCTCCCAAAAGTCCTCATCAAGATTAGGGATGAACTCTAGATACATCTGACCAAAAATCCTGCTGCTGAAAATGCTAAAGCAAGCTAACAGTCTCAGTGTATTTACTGCTTACGCATGAGCATAACCTTACTGTATATGCCTACAGCCCAAATATGGAGCAGATGAAGTGAGAAAACAATTTAAGTGTACATAGAAACTCGAGGCCAGAAGTTATCACTTAGCATAAGAATTTAGAAGAGTTTACAAGGATTTGATAGATCACTGGTATGGTAATTTCTATTTAGCACTCTGCAGGATTCTCACAACCAATCTGTTGGCTTTTATGTTTCAATGTATCTTCACTGCTTTTTTAGTGATACTTTATTCACTTGAGAAATGTTATATTCACGACAGAAATGTCTGTTTCTGTAAGACTTCATGTGACTTATGTAAGCACAGAAGGAGCAGTGGCCAGTTTCTGTACATGTTCTTCTCTTTCAGGGAGGAAATTAGTCAGCAAGCAAAACTAGGGACTGCAGCAAGGTATTCCTTATGCATGAGACAAGCACAACTGGAAAAGCTCACAGTAATGAGTGGTTTGCACCAAAAGCTCCTTCTTTTCATTTTTAACAGCAGCACAAGGGCAGAAAACCCAACTCTTAAAAGCTGAACTGAGCATGAGGCCTTTATGATGCCGAAAGAACTGTGAAACAGCTTTTTAATATAGGTATCCTGTGACACCTACTTGTGGGTGAAATAAAATTACAAACTTCACAAAATAGTGACACAGAAAGACCAAAGAATATAGACGTGTGCTTACCTTCATTTTTACTCTTCTCTTTTAAACATATCTTGATGGCCTCTAATGCTCTTGGACTAGTAAAAATTAGGCCTCCATAGCATTCTGGATGAGAAAGCTACTTAAAAACAGTAAATTTAAGAAATAAATTAGTAAATAAATAAATAAATACATCTAGTTGATCAATTTTTTACAATCTTGTGAAGAACAGAACAGCTTCAATAAATGACTGAAATGGTCAAATATGAAGAGACTTTTCATCAGGGACTGTAGTGACAGGACAAGGGGTAATGGGTTGAAACTGAAACATGGGAAGTTCAGGTTAGATATAAGGAAGAAGTTCTTTACTGTGAGGGTGCTGAAGTGCTGGCACAGGGTGCCCAAAGAAGTGGTAAATGCTCCATCCCTGGCAGCGTTCAAGGCCAGACTGGACTGGGCTTGGACTGGTTTGTGTTGGAAGGGACCTTAAAGCTCAACCAGTTCCACCCCCTGCCACAGGCAGGGACACCTTCCACAGAGCAGGCTGCTCCAGCTCCTCACCATCCAAAGCCTGTGGTGATCTATGGTCCATCAAGCTAAACATGAATTCTATCTGACCAGCATAATTCTTTAACAAGTATGAGCAGCATATTTGATGTTGTCTACAATGTCTTGTGTTGTATACAATATTGTGTTTTATACAACTGTGTTTGTAGAAACACAAAAAGAGCTACCACAAAGGGCACTACCAGATCAAAATAGACACAGTATCTTGGTAACCATGACCAAACCCTGTAGAAAATAAGACAACTGAAATAATTTGAAACTTACCTTTTCAAATAAGCTTTCGAGAGATATGAATTCAAATGATAAAACTGGAACCAAAGTGGCTTCAAATCTGTATAATCCTAATGCCTATCAAAAGAAGGTTTACAGCTTTTGAAATTGAAAACAGTAGTTTTTTTCTTTTTCAAAGAACTGATTAAGCACAAATAAACCTTTTTACTAAAATAAGATACAGAGGCGCCTTATTTGCTTTTACTAGTGACTCGAGGTTGGTTTTGCTAGTTATTCAGTATTGCAACAGAATACTATACAAGCAGCTGTGGACCTGAGGCCTCCTCATAGCTACTGAATAGTTACAGCACAGAGTTATGTACTACATATATAAGTCTGAAGTCCCTGAGTGCCAAATGATCACTCAGTCCTGCAAATATTCCTGTACCTCCCTGAAATGGTTTTAAGTCTTCCAAGTATGACTTACTCCCATGACTAAAGGCAATAGCACAAAGAAAAAGCAACAGGTAACCCTCTTTTTCACATTACATTCCCAGTAAGATTACTAACATTGTGTATTCTTAATTCTATCCACATAAACATAACCAATACTAATTCATTAGATTGGGTTTAATATCAGTGCTTTGCTGAGAACTTTAACAGTGAATTCATTGTGCATGCCCTATAACTAAGATATCTTTTCAGTAACAGCAAATTTTATAGCATACTTTTTTCCTTGGCATGATTGAAACATACATTTTGATTATTTAAACATACATTTTGATTATTTAAACGTACATTTTGATTATTTAAACATACATTTTGAGTATTTTTCCTATGAAATATCATTTCAGACACACACTCCTCATTTCGATTAAGCATGTTTTTCACTTGAGAAACATTTAAATCCATCCATCTTGCTGAATGCATGATAACAGTGAAGTGGCACGTTTACTTTTCCTAAACTCTACTCACTTGAATATAGGGATCTGGTCCGGACTCTTTGTCTTTGGGATCCTTCAGCAACAGAACCTTCATTGTTTACCAAATAATTGCAGCAGAACTCTGAAATACAATAATGGAAATTATCTAAATTAGATCTAGAGGACTTTCTATTGAACAATAACTTTAATAGCTCAGCTCCTAAGAAACTGGGCTGCTAAACAGTTGCACTGCTCTCTTCACAATGAGTAAGCAGTTAACGTGCATTCTCTGGGCAGGAATATCCACCCTGATAAGACCAACAAATAACATGCTGCCTTTAGATAATACTGCTTAAGGGAGAAACTGTAATGAAAGTCATCAAGGAGAATACATTGTAAAAGAATTAATAACCCCTACAATGCAGTCATGAGCAGCAACCTAATAAGCTCCTATCTATAAAAACTTACTCTGTTAAGTCATTTCATGCTAGTTTTCACCTTATGCTCATCATAACAAGTACGCAAGGGGTTATGTATCAAGGGATTTCACTTGATGCATTTGGGTCTCCCCCTTTTCAAAGGGGAAAACACACCCAGGGCAGTGTAAAAACCACAAATGTATGTGTGCATATGTATCAGTACACCCATTTATACATCTGAGTATCATATATACAGTATTCATATGCCTTCTCTTACATATCTACAGGAAACAAGGCAAGACTGGAATACACATACTCTGCCATTACATGGAAAATGATGGTTCTCGGTTCCTTAAAAGCTGCCCTTGGTGCTGAAATCAAAGCCTGTAAGGACACAGAAGCAAATAAACCAAGTGTCACAGCAAACAACTGCAGTAATATAAACAGAAACCCACCAACTGCCCCCACCAACTGAATTATCTTGTTACTTTCCTACAGACTCCCTTCCTCAGCTGGACAGGGGAGAGAAAACACACGGAAAGACTGGGGCTTGGGATAATGACAGGGAGAGATCACTCACCAATAAACCAGCATGGGCAAAACAGACTCTGCTTGGGGAGTTTATGTAGTCCGCAAAAGGGCTGCAAATGTCCAAGAGAAGACAGGTTTGACCCGGGGAATCCGTTCAGTTTGTACATTCCCGAATAATATGTATTTTAATCTGCAAGTATTCTGTGGCTGCTTTTGGTCTTACTGCTGAGAAAATCACTCTTATTACAAGCCATAGACCTCCCAGACTGTTCTGTCCTTTCCACATACACGGTTCACACGGATTTGGTGACAGATGTGACCAAACCAAAACGGGTGGAATAAACCCATTTCCGATACCTTGGTCCTCAGACCCAACACTTTCTTAGCAAGTGTGCCCTACCACTGCTGCTACATCACTGGGGATCGAGCCAAAATGACATCTTAACAGGCAGTGAGAAGGCTGACAACACCCCTAAGAGGGACAAGCACATCTTCAAACCAAAGCCATGCCCATACACATTCAAACAGCGAAGAAGTTAAAGCTCAAATATGGATTGACAGGCTGAGAGAGCTGGGCTGGGGCAGCCTGGAGAAGAGAAGGCTCCTGAAGGGGAGACCTTAGAGCAGCTCCAGTGCCTACAGGGGCTGCAGGAAAGCTGGAGAGGGGCTTGAGACAAGGGCCTGTAGGGACAGGACAAGAATGGGAATGGCTTTAATGTACCGAGGACAGATGCTCTAGCCAGGCAGGGAGCTGCAACACTTGACGCACACCTACACTAGGTTAGGGTTAGGAGAGGGGCGACACGGGACGCGCCCCCCCCGCTCCCCAAACACCCTTCGCAAGCCTCAGACCCGTTCCCAGCTCACCACAGCCTTTCCCTGCGGACATACCCCAACTCCGCCTGCAGAGCTGTGCCGGAGACTGCACCCACCCCGCGCTGCTCCGGCCCGGCCTCAACACGGGCCCCAGCGCCGCTCAGCACCGGCAGCCGGGCCCCCCCCGGGCGGGCACCGCGCCTGCCTCCGCCGCGGCCTTCCGGGTGCCGAGCGCCTGCGCGCCGCGGTGACATGGCCACGCCGGCCAAGCGGCGGGCCCAGCCGCAGCCCCCTGCCGAGGAGAGCGGCTCCGAGTCCGAGTCTGAGCCGGAGTCGAGCGAGTCGGGCTCGGAGGAGGAGGAAGAGGAGGAGGAGGCGATCGATGAGGTGAGCGGGGGGAACAGGGCCCTCCCCTCACGGCCGCCCCTGCGCTGCCCCGCAGCCGCCCGCTGCTCTCCTGAGCCGCCGAAGAGAACAAACAAGCGGCTGTGGTGGCGGAGCCGTGGCGGGGAGGTGCAGGGGAAGAGGGGTTCCCCTCTGTAAATCCCTTTCGAGGCGGTCGTGGGTCGGGGCCCGGCGTGGGGCCATGGGTTCCGTGATCAAGCCTAGGCTGGGCCTTTCCGTGTGCTCCGGTGGCACACGTGAGTGTAATGCCTTCACCCCAGAGGGTTTGCTCCGGTTTCCTTTGTGCGTAAGGAGAAAGGGAGGAAGAGAAAAATAAGGGGAAGGAGAATAAAAAGCATCAGAATTCACTGAAATAGGGTTTTTATTTATTTTCTGAGTTCTCTTTCGGGCATACGGAAAAATGCATTACTTAGCTGTGGAGCAGGACATTGAGGGAGGAGTCTCGTTTTTTCTGCGAGGAGATACGCTCTGATTGTAGATTCTTATTAATGTGTTCGGGTGATAAAGCAATCTCTGATTTTTCACAAGGTTTAAAAAGAGTCAAATAGAGAAGCTGTGGCTGCCCCATCTTATGGTAGCATTATCAATTGTTTTAACGGAGTAAATCCAACTTCAGTGTTTTGCCACCTTGTTTTCCCTAGGGTTTCACTTTGAGATGATGGGCTTCCCTTTTCTTAGCTGAAGCCTTAGCTTTTGAAAGTAGATCAAAAAAAACCCAAGCCCTGCCTTTGTAAAATACTATCTCGTGATAAAAAGTGAGAGGTAATCGTGTTAATCAGTGAAACTACCCTGATGGACAAGAACATTTACCGTGGGCTAGAAACGTGTGCTGCTTTAAATGGGTGCTAACTTGTTTATGAAGTTGCTGACTAGCACTGCTAGTACTGTGTGTATTGTTCGGGGTTTATAAACACATAAAAGATGTTGCATTAGTGTGTAAATACTGTGAAATTGCAGCTAATGGCAATAATAATGTGTGTCCCCCCCCTTGTTTTTTTGGCTTTAAGTGCACAGCGTTCCTGCGTAATGTGGGTAGGACAGTGGTTTTCATTGTGTTTGCGGGCAAGGTTTCTTGAGTCTTCAGTCATGGGGCTTGAGGGGGTTTCTCAGTGTCCTGCACTGGTATGCATGACTGTGTTTCGTTTGCAGTTGTTTGTATGCTGGATAAAATTTGCAGTATAATGCCTATTTTAACTTAGTAGTCCAATGTTTGAGGATGCTGTAGTACTATAAACATCTGTTTCAGTTTGGAAGTCGTAGAATCATAGAATGGTTTGTGTTGGAAGGGACCTTAAAGCTCATCCATTTCCAACTCCTGCCACGGGCAGGGACCCCTTCCACTGGAGCAGCTTGCTCCAAGCCCCTGTGTCCAACCTGGCCTTGAGCACTGCCAGGGATGGGGCAGCCACAGCTTCCCTGGGCACCCTGTGCCAGCGCCTCAGCACCCTCACACAGAAGATGTCTGAAGGTATATTGAGTTTTCCTCAATTCTTGTATAAGGCATTAAGGTTTGCATTGCTAATATTCACAGAATCTCAGAATACCAGCTTGGAAGGGAACTCAGGGATCATGTAGTCCAATGTTTCTCAGCAAAGCATGGCCTAGACTATGTAGCACCAAACTGTATTAATGTACTGAACATTTGTAGCTGTAGAAACTTAGAGATTTGTAAAGCCATATACTTAAAGGGCGTTTGTTTCTCCTTAATTCTCAGCCTTTTTATTTTTGCCATATTAGCCTTTCCCTTCATCACTCCCCACGTCATGTGGAAAAAGGAAAATCTCTTCTTTTATGCAGATGTGAATGCTCCATCCCTGGTAGTGTTCAAGGCCAGGTTGGACGAGGCCTTGGGTAATATGGTTTAGAGCGAGGTGTCCCTGCCCATGGCAGGGGGGTTGGAACTTGATGATCTTAAGGTCCTTTCCAACCCTAACTATTCTATGATTCTACGATTCTATGTTCTCATCATTGAAGGGGACATGTGGTTTTGTTGTCAATCTGGCAGCAATATGATTGCCAGGCAGGGCTTGGTTGTTGAGATAGAGCTTAGCTCACTGCTGTGTTGTACGTAGCTGAGTATTGTTGCATGTTACTGTTTGCTTTGCAGGCTCTTGCTTTGGATGCAACAGAGGGGAAGAGAATAAGCACACAACAGCAAGACTGAACACACCAAAATATATGATGGGTCTTTATTTGCCTGGTTTGGTTTTTAATAGATGAAAGATGGAGGGTTTGTAAACTGTCATACCACGCTATTATTTGGGGTAGTGGAAAAAGCCATGAAGCAAGACCAGTATTAGCAAATCTATTGCTCCCATGGTTTATATCGATTTTATGGCTATGATTTGCACAGTATTCAGAACCACTGTAGGCTGTGTTTTGTTCAGAATTTACTGGCTTAATCATTCAGTGGGATCCTTGGATTTTAAAGTGCTTGGAAAGTTCCTAGGTGCCAGGACTGAATGCTGTGTATGCCAAAGATATAAGCTGTTTTCTTGCATTTATAAATCATGTGCTCTCAGTTACTTCTATAGAGTGTTCTTGCTTTGCTAGACCATGGAAGAATATCCAAGCATCTCCCCTGATTTTTATTACCCCCTCCCAGGTGGCAGTATACCTGTTTTCTCCATTATAAACAGGGCTTTAAAGCTGTTCTCCCAGTGGACAATAAAGACCATGACCTCGATACGGGGTTGAAGAGAGTTATGAGTCTGAACTTGTGGTAAGGTTCAGTTGTCTAGATTGATCAGAAAGTGGAATATGAACCGACAGCTCTAAGGCAAAATTTGGATCATCTTGAGCAGTGGTTCTCAGAACACCAGGTAGGCAGAGCCACCTTGGCAGGCAGTACTGTTAGTATAGAACACCAGTAGAAATGTTTTGTAGGCACAGCATTTGTTCTGGAAGGAGAAGCAGGAGTTCACTTTCTGATTTTGCTCTGGCTGGATCTCATCAAGCAGCTACTGAGCAGACTTCCATTAGGATCTGAGGAAACAGCAGAAGCATCATTTTGGATGCAATTGCCTAAATATCTGCAACAGTCTTCATCTTTAGCCAAGGCATTACACTCCAATCCCGCAGTTTCAAGAGTTTAACTGCCTGGATCAAGCCTCTACAGTAAGTGCTAAGTGGCTACAGTCAGCATAATTACATGAACCACATTGCAGGAAAAAAGTGTTAAAGGCTTGTTCACAACACAATTTGTAAGTTAGTTTAAAAAGTTACTTTCACAGATGCTCTCTAAAGATTACAGAAGAAATAGTAACTCCCAGCTGTTGCTGAGATTACTCAAAGATGGAAATAAGTTCTATTTCTGGTGTTGACTAGTACTTCTTTTCAGGTTTGTTATAGTTTAGCTTTGTTTTGGTATAACTTCTTGCCAAGTATGTTTGATATTCTCTATTTTACCTCTTCACAGGAAGTGAATATTGAATTTGAGGCACATTCCATATCAGACAATGACTATAATGGAATAAGGAAGTTACTACAACAGGTACTTTGACTTCTTGTTAGCTTGGTTGATATGGCCATTGATAAATAATATCTAAAGAGTTATGCAAAGTCATCAGTTCACATAATTTGTTTTGTGTCATAGTTTTACTGTGCTTCAGTTCACGAAGATTGAATTACAGCCATAGTCAACACGTGTCTCCTATACCACAGTTTCAAGAACTTTACCCAATGAACTGTAGGGCTTTTATTCCATAGCGTGTATAATCTTTCCATCTTCATTATGTTGCTTGCTGCTCAGAAAACCTTGTTCAGTGTTAATCAGCTTCTTGGAGGTCTTCCTGTAGATGACAGCCCTTAAAAAAGAGACAAACAAGTAATGTGTCTGCTTAGTGTAGCAGCTTCCAGTCTTCTTTTGCCTGTTTCTGTTGCTCAGCAAGCATTCAGATCATAGCAAATTCAAAGGACAGCAGGTATGCAAAATGCTAGCATGTGGAGGGTTGAGGAGCTTCAAGAAGCTGATTTTTAGTCTTTACAGTATTATATTGAAGCATTATGTCACTAAATGGAAATTAAAAGTGGAATGGAATAGTTCTACTTAGAGAAATTGCTGACTTGAATTTCTAGGGTGGCTCATGATGTGTCATTATACCTAAAACTTGTTAATACTTGTTTCCTGTTTTCCAGTTGTTTCTAAAAGCTCCTGTTAACACTGCTGAATTAACTGATATATTAATACAACAGAATCATATTGGAAGTATTATCAAGGTAAGAAAGAATTTGTAAATGGAGTACTATACTTGTGATGTTGAAATGACACAACAGACATTCAGAAGGGGACCCTGGATCTGTACCTTATATGCTTTCTTCCTTTTTAGCTTTGAGAGGAATTCTTCTGTAGGAGCTGAAATTTTCCATGTCTACTTTCAACCAAACAAGGAATTCGATTTATTATTTTGGCTGGTTTCTCTTTACACGTGGAAGGCTTTTCACTTTTTCCTCTGAATTTTAGTGTAATAGAATAATAATGCTGACAGTGTTATGGAGAAGTTTGTGGCCATCTCCGTAAGAAATAGGACCTTGTGATTTCAGGATGTATAGAGATATAGACAAGAAATACCCTGCATGCCATTTCCTTTTGCACAGAATTCTCTGGATATAGGAAAGGATTCCAAAATGAGTCCTGGTCAGTTCCTGCTAAGGCAGTGGAGCACTCTGCAGGGCTCCTGGGTTATTCCTGTCTAAGGAAGCTGTTCAGTACTGTGCAGTGCTCAAGATGTGAAGGCCATGTTGCTTTCAAACCCAGACAAACAACCTCTGTGGCACAGTGGTGCTGTTGTACCGTGTTACTTGGTGTCATTGCTGTGCATTCCCTTTTTGTCCTGTGCCAACAGTTTTTCCACCCACATTTAATACAATCCTTTTATTACTACTGTATGACCCCCAGTTCTTTCCCCAGATTTTTCATAGCAGAGTTTTGTTGAGCTTTTTGTATCACTGTCAAAGCCCTGTTGCTCTGTGGTTTTTAAGACTTTGCAGGTTTAATTCCCTATGTTAGAAACTGAAGAAAATTGGTTTTGCTTAAGATACTGCCGTGCCTTGTACCAAGTTGCCTCTTCTTAAATGTGAGCTATCAAATTTTAGTGCCTTTCCAAAAATCCTGCTGTAGAAGATATATGAACTATCTGTCTCTAGAGCTGGCTCTAAGTACACAGACTCAATGATGTGGCACTTTCATAACTGTAACCAGAATGTGTAGGTTGTGTGTTTGTAGAGATTACGTGGATGGTTCTCATCTGCTGAGCATCTTCTGGAAAGAAAGCCATTTTTTGCTGCAGAGTAAAAATAGCAACAACTCATATTGACATTCTGTTTTGTTTATTAAACAGCAAGCAGAAGTCCAAGAAGACAGTGATGATGATGAAGATGATGATGAAGTCTTTGGTTTCATTAGCTGCTTAAACTTAACAGAAAGGAAGGTATGTTATGGTTAGTTATTCCTCATTGACATCTAGGCGGTAATAAGTGATACTGTATCTTGCTTCTCTGGCTTGTATAACAAGCTTAGGCAGCTGGATCAGGATTTTGATTTCCACCATGGAGGACTATGGTCGTAAAAGTTGCACATCACATAGCTTGCTTTCGTTGCTGAAGGTCAAACATAAGGCCAGGAATGGAACAGAGAGTTAAAACTAGGTCTAACCATAGGCCCAGGGTAACTGAGGTGTCAGCCTCTTGTATTTCTTCACTGTCATCTTTTGCAGCTTGCTGGTGAGGATACTGGTGTAGCAACTCCTCACTGCTCTCCTGTCAGTTGAGAACCTTTGTTTGCCCTCAGCTTCAGGGTTGGTAAAGAATTCCAGAGAACTTGCACAGACTGCTTAAAGAAATCACCAGTAGGTCTGTAGACTATTCCCTGGAAGTTCACATTCAAGTTTCTTTGCGTAAATAGTTGTTATATAATGCAAAGAAAATATACCTTTTAGTATATAAAGATACATGTGTCTTTCTTTCAGGATACACAGTGTGTTGAACAAATCAAAGAGCTGGTTCTAAGTCGGTGTGAGAAGAGCTGTGAACAGCATGTAGTTGAACAACTGAATAAGCTCCTAAATGATAGTACTAAGCCTGTGGGTCTTATACTGAGTGAAAGATTCATTAACGTACCACCACAGATTGCTCTACCCATGCACCAGCAGCTTCAGTAAGTTTGGGGTTATTTTGACATGATTTCTTCATATTTTTTCAGCAATCTATGTATGTAGAGCTATGTTAAGATAGGTGATAGTATAGCTATAAATAAGACAAGAACACAAGTATTTTCATTTCATATAAGGTCTTTAGTTAATTTCTTAAAATTAGTTATATCTTTAGGCTTTTCTAACTTTTAAGATAGAGGAAATCATTAAAGAATGTGTGCTGTTCTGCAGAAATAGCTGTGTGTATGTTGCAGATTGTTTTCCTATTGATCTAGGAAAACTTAAAACTGAGAATTTCTTATAGCATACTAATAATGAGACCTTTAAGGAATTAACACACTGATAATGAAAGAAAACGTGTAGACAGGGTTGGTCAGGAAGGTTTTTAGAGAAAGAAATGAGGTGCTTGAAGCTTAGCTTTGAGGTTTACCGCTAGTACAACACTTGTCACAACTCAAATTCAGATCTCAGCCTCTGTCTTACAGGGCTCAGAGTGTGGCAGTGGCAACGTGTTTAACACAAGGGTGGGCAGGAGTATTTTCTGGCTCTTCAGTTACAGTTCCTCGTGAAATGACAGTGTGCTGTACCTTCTAATGCACTGTAAGGTTTGGTTACACTCTTGTTGAGGGTATGAATTGTGTATGTAGATGTATTTTTAAATAGTATGTGTAAACATCTATTTGTCTTTAGGAAGGAGTTGAGTGAGGCACAGAGAACAAACAAACCATGTGGAAAGTGCCACTACTATCTCCTTCTCGGCAAGACCTTTGCAGAAGCCACAAAGAGCAATCCTAAGAAGAAGGGAGGGAGACATCAGCAGAAGGAGGAATTAATGTTTGCAAATGCAGAGGAAGAATTCTTTTATGAGGTAACATATGTGATTCTTTTAATTTAAAATAGTTATTTGCTTTTTATGTGTCAGCAAAAAAGGTGTTTCCCTTTATAATTCAGGGAAGGTTTTTTAAAGATATGTTTGCATATTGTTTCAATTAGATCCATCTTTTTTTAGAGTAGTATTGAGAGATGAGCAGGCAACTTATTTTTGTGTATTGAGCCCAACACCTTTGTATTTAGAGCATCAGGAGAGGTATACATCCATAAGTCCAAGTAGTTACATTAATCCTCTATATCGGCATGGGTTTGCTGATACATTACTTGGATCAGGTCGCAATGAACCTGACTGTGGGATGGTGTGGCACAGGCAGTGTTCCTACATGATAGAGTCTCCAGTGCTATGAGGATAATGGAAAATTTCAGAGAATGCCTGGAATAAGCAGAGACTTCAGGGGAAAGATCAGGTTTTACTTTGGTTTGAGGCCAGTGTCTTGGCCTTGAAGAATTAAGAAACTTCATCTCTCTTTACTTGTATAGCAGTGCTGAAGAGATTGAATTGAATGTTGTAACGGTCAGACTTCTTGAAATCCTGTGAATGGAATAGCCACATTTTTAGAATGAACAAATGGTAATAAACCTGGATATTGAATTTAGCAGCATGTCTCAGGCTTTTCGAGTTTACAGAAGTCTGAAATCCCTTTTATGGGGGAAACTGCAGTTGTCTTCTTTAATCTGAATAATAAGAAATACGAAAGACATGTTGAACTGCTGTGTCAGCTGAACAGAGAAGACTGGGTGTGTGAATTGCAGGAAGTGCAGGTTAGCTGAGTATCTGTCAGTGGGATTCAAGCTAATGTGGTTTACAACACAGGTGTTTGAGAGTGGCAGCTCAAACAACAGGTAGTAACTTGCCAGGGTTCTCTAACTTAATCATGTGTCACAGCTTCAAGCACTTAGAAGAACAAAGATTGGAAAAAAATACAGGGGGATCTCTGTTGTTAGAGTCTCCATCAACATCTGCACTGCATGGTAATACTTAAATACACAGATCTCTTCTGCTTGCCCCTACATAGTTAGTCCTGTGTCAGAAAAAAAGCAGCTGTTGAGGCTTTTTTTTTGGTAATGCAGTTAAACACATTTCCCTTGAGATCTTTTCCTAAGCAACTGAATAGATGCAAAGCTCTGCATTTGTGTTATTGTCACTATCATAGAATGGTTTGGGTCGGAAAGGACCTTAAGATAATCCAGTTCCAACCCCCCTGCCGTGGGCAGGGACACCTCACACTAAACCGTGCCACACAGGGCTCTGTCCAGCCTGGTCTTGAACACTGTCAGGGATGGAGCCTTCACAACCTCCCTGGGCAACCCATTCCAGTGCCTCAGCACCCTCACAGTAAAGAACTTCTTCGTTATATCCGATCTAAACTTCCTCTGTTTAAGTTTGAAACCCTTACCCCTTGTCCTATCACTACAGTCCCTGATATAGAGTCCCTCCCCAGCATCCTTGTAATCCCCATCAGATACTGGAAGGCTGCTATGGGGTCTCCACACAGGTTCTCTTTTCCAGGCTGAAGAGCCCCAACTTTCTTTGCTGCAAAAGGTGATTTATCTTTTCTCTTTTGGATACCAATTACCTTCAAAAAATGCTCGGAATACAAACTTCTGAAGCTCTGAAGAAGTAGCTGTCACCTTCCTTTTCTGTCTCTATTCTACTCAGGACAAATATATTAATAAAAAGTCCTAAAATACTGAGATGAAAATATTACTTCCTATTTCCTAAGGCAACCTGTCTACACAATTCTGCTGGTCCCAAGCCAGATCAGGAGAGGGGAAGAGGCAGGAAATGAAATCAAAAATGTACTTTGAAACGCACAGAGTTTTTCATTGTTCTTGATTTTTTTTCCTGAAACTAAAAATATTATTCTAGAATATTGCTGCTTTGTCAAGAGACTTGTTTCTCATTTCTGGCAGTGCCTACAGGATAAAGTACTTGCACATGCATCACGGTTAATGGCAAAGCTTCCTCTGAGAAATCATTCACGGCATTCTCTGGTGGAGGCTATGATATGGCTGTAATTTTATTTCTTGGGAAGAAGAAAAATGGAAGTGGGCGAATTCCTTGTTAGCTATAGGGAATACTGATGTAGCCTCTGTGCAGTAACAAGTTTGGGGTTTGCTTTCTGTTTTCCTGCCACAGCATCTTTATCAACTGAACTTGAACTCTGTGTCAACATGTTATTGAAGAACTAAAAGGGGAGAAGCCTGTGATGCCCATGTGTCCTTATGGCTTATGTTCCTGGAGGCCTGTTTTGTATTTATCTGTTTTGTTATTTTGATGGTATTTTAAAGACTTTTATCTAAATTGCAGTAATTTTCAGCTCAAATGGGTAGACTCAAACTGAACATGCTTTTCTTTTTAACAGTCTTTCTAGTGTTTTTAACAAATTCATCTTGAATGTTATGGAGGATAGTAGATTAATTTGCTCTCTGGACTTTATAATGTTTATGTGTTATATTAGCGTTGGTGTGTATATCCTCCCTGATCATGCATAATGTTAATTAGATTGCAATAAAATAGTATTAAGTGCAGTCAGGCAGACACTTAGAGCCATATAAACCAGAGAGAAGCCTTTTTGCACTTGTCAGTTCCCTGTGCTTTATTCTGTTCCTGAAAACATTATTGAGGGAGCAGAAGAAAAGCTCTGCTATAACCAGACTGGAATTGATTAAAGGTTTAGGGCCTCCATTGCTCAAATTGTTTGTTGTTGAGCAAAGCCACTCCATTAACGTGATGGTTTTTCCAAAATCAAATTTACAACCTTGAGATACTGTTAGGAAATAGCAAACCTAAAAGGAGACTGGAGCTTAACTTACCCCGCAAGGGAAGAGGTTAGATAAGTTCTTCTAATTACGAATTCAGCTCATGCTTCTTAATCTGACTTGTGTGAGAACTAGAAACATTTGTTAGATAAGTTTTTCTTCTCCATCAGGCGTTTTGCCTGGGAAAGCTAATAAAAAAGGACTGTCAGATCTGTATGCAGTATGTATCACTGGAAAGAAATAATGCACATTATGGACACCTACCTATTTGAAGCATCGTCACTTATGGTATGTCTTTTGGTGGCTCCAGCCATCTACAGGCTTTACAAGAGCTTTTGAAATTCCACTCAGGATTCATGTCAGTGCCCATTCCCTTAATGCTTCATTTCTAGTGGCAGTGTGAAAGAGGGGATTACTGTACCACATATTCTTACAGATAACATTAATTTTAGGAGCAGTTTTAGAGTAGGCCATAAAGATAGCAGAGCCTGTTCAGTGCTACAGACCTTCCCTGTTACCCACACCAAGCTGTCATCTTTAAGGAAGGCTCTACTCCATGTTCGCTCTGTCCCTGTTCCTTTTATCTGGCTTTTGGCTAATCTCCTAAGGCTCAAAATTACCCAGCTACTGATTTGTTTATGTTCTGGGTCTGAAGGTCTGTTAGAGGCCTCATATTCCTGTTAGTGGTCAAGGATACCTGCTAGTTGGCACAATAGCTTCTAAGGGTCAGCATTTCTTAATGTGATAATAGGGAATAAGATGTTGTATTAAAACCACCTAAAAGTAGGCAGAGTAAACATAATAAAGGGGCTTTCTCTCTGCCCTTAGGTCTTTTTTTCTGATACCAAACTATAATAATAGCAATCATTTTAGAGTTTAGTATGAATGATATAAATCCTGTGAAAAGCAAATAGTTTGAAACACTTAACAGTGGATTCTCTTGAAGGTTTTTTGGTGGACCTTCTGCAAGGGAAGAAAATAACTTCTTAATAAGTGTGTGCATAAATAGGGTCATTGTTTTTACTTTGATGATGTATTGTCTTCATTCTAATGACAAAATTGGATCCTAACACATTTCTTTCTGTTGTTTAGAAAGCCCTTCTGAAGTTCAACTACTCTGTGCAAGAGGAAAGTGACACTTGTTTGGGTGGCAGATGGTCCTTTGATGATGTACCAATGAAACCCTTGCGGACTGTTATGATAGTTCCAGCTGACGGGATTCATGCCATTATGGATAAACTGAAAGACTATCTCTCAGTCTGAGATTTCCTATAAACACTGGGTTTTGTAAAGCAGCCATGCAGAACTATGACTTTAGTATTTTCAGAAGGCTGCTGTGGAGTTAATGGTTTTCTACTGCTCAAATGCTTCCTCTGTACATTTAGAAGACAAGGAGATGGTACAAAGAAAAATATCTATGAAATTAATATTTTTAAATATTCTGTCTTATGATATATTGGTATCATCATTAAACAGTCAATAAAAAAACAGTGTAACAAGAAAACGTGAAGATCTGCTCAATATGTTTTTAACCAAAACTAAACTGTATATTTTTGTTATAAACACATACATAAGGAAAAAAAAGCTTATGTTTTTCTGTTAAATACATTTATTTTAAAAGTTTGAAATGATTTCTTGGGTTAAGATGGAGATGGCTATTTCATGTACTGCCTTTATTTGTATTTGTTCGATATATGATGGTTCAGTCTGAGTTCACTGAATAATGCATCTTTGTTCAGTAGGAGTGGGAAATTGTTCATTTTCTTTGTCATCATTACTTTTCTGTTCCTCCTTCATGGCTGAAGCAGGTGACAAGTGATTGATCACCTCCTGCAGAATATCCTTGCTTTCACTGGGAGGAAGGTTGCTAAAGTAATACTGAGGAACCAGCTCCACAAACCTGGTGAGGAAATAAGACAAAACGTTGTGAATGTCTTTTAATTGAATTGGAAATGTTTGAATAGCTATTTCCAGGTTTGTACAAAAGACATCAGCAACATGCTACAAAGCTGGTGTTTCAACTCGAACACAGAATCTGCAAGATGTAGTCATTTGGGGGTTGGAACTAGATGATCTTAAGGTCCTTTCCAATCCTAACTATTCTATGATTCTATAATAGTGTGTGGTTTTGAGAGACTGGCAATGTACTCAGGCCATACTTCAGGTGATGTTCATTCAGGTCTCAGTGCTGCAGACTGAATTAAATAGTAATTTTTCTGCATTTGAACATATTTGTGGTTCAATAAAATCATGAAAAAGGCTTTCTTAGAAGCATTGGAAATAGAAAAGATAGGAAAGTGAAATGTACATTCTTGATGTAAAGAGATTTTTGCAGAAGGAAGACTGTAGTCTTCTCTTGAATCCATAAACAGTTGATATGGAATGATTTAGGTGGCTGGGTACGTAAAATATGTTGAGAGAAAGGTTTGCTGAAAAATAGGTTTTCAGGGAACAGAGATTTCCAGTAAGATTAATCTATGAGTACACTGCTCTGTTAACCCTTCCTTAATGTTTTTTTTTTTGCCTAATATTTTACCTTCTAAGAAACTTTTGCCACTTGGCAGGTGTTTTTTCAGTGGGTGCATTGATTACAGTTGCAATGGTCATACCTGAACAGATCAGCACGTTAGGAAATACCAAAGGCTGGCTTACATGATGTTCTGGTTTGCATGAAAATGATAGTGATGGTGTGAGAACACAGTTCTTCCTCTTTTTAACAGTTGTGAGCTTTAATGCAGTGAGTGTTCTGAATGACAGGGCAGACATCAAGCAAAGCTACACACAGTGACAGAACAATACTGGCAACAATGAAGTTACATGCATCCCACATATATTCACTAGGGAATATGAAAAGTGTGAAAAGCAACAATTTCTTCACCCCTCCAGTGATGAGAGCTTAGCTATTAGATCTTAGGCAGAAACTCTTCCCTGTGAGGGTGCTGAGGCGCTGGCACAGGGTGCCCAGAGAAGCTGTGGCTGCCCCATCCCTGGCAGTGCTCAAGGCCAGGTTGGACACAGGGGCTTGGAGCAAGCTGCTCCAGTGGAAGGTGCCCCTGCCTGTGGCAGGGGTTGGAACTGGATGAGCTTTAGGGTCCCTTCCAACACAAACCAGTCTGGGATTCTGACTGAGTAGTTTTTATGACACATAAGGGAGCTGCCTTCTCCAAGCATTGTTCTCAGTGTACAACACATATCTTTTAACAATTTTGTGACTTAAGTTATATTTTTGTGGCAGAGGTATGGATGAAGGAACAGTTTCATCATTGTTAACTTACAGATCAGGTGATATCTCGGAGACTACTTGGATGGAATTGTCTTCTGATATACTAAACTCATGGAACAAAACCCACTCTGGAATCTTTCTGCTGTTATAATAAGATGAGAAAGGATGAAGCTGGGCCACTTGTCTGTGTGTTAACATTAAGTAGTTACCTGAGCCATCTACATCACGAGCAATCTAAAAAACAGATGTGCAAGGAGTTGTCCATTACTTCATTGGTTGTACAAGATGCATAGATCAGTATTTGCCTATTGTATTAAAAGCAGGAATTAAACTTGTGTTCAGGTACTTTGAGCAGGAGAGCCTAAGTATCAGTCTTATTCCATATATCTGTGGGAAAGAAATACCTGGATACTATGAAATGAGGCTTGGAGTTAAAGAAATCGTTCATCTGTATAGTTGAAAGGAAACTGCAACAAATGAGAGCAGGCTTATGCAGTAAGTACCTGAACTTGGCTTTGACAAGTATGTGTGAAAACTGATGTATTCTTAAAGGACTGGAAGCTTTAAAATACCATGTGCAGCCCTTGAAGTAGGGTATTTTGAACGGGTCAATTTATTTAGGTGGAGCGTAGTGATGTAAAGGAAAACATGTTTTCAAGTGGGAATAAATCAGTCTTATTTATGTATACAGTTATAGTTAGCGTACCTCCTTTGACTGAGATGAAGAAAGCTGTATTTTATGTGTACCTAAACATACTAAGTTGGTTCTTGTTTTCCAGGGTATTTTTACAGCAACAACTTTCAACGTCTGAGAGAATATTACAAGTTAAAGAGGTTTCTGAAGTAAAATAATTCTTTGAGTGAAAGGCATATTGACAGTTTTCCTCTCGCAGTGAAGTGTGTGGGCTTCATGCTGTGATAGCTGAACCCCAGAGAGAAGATTGGAATTGGCCCAAGTGTTTGATGCACTGGAAAAAATGACTTTTATCCTTTCTGTTGAGTAAGGTTTCATTACCTAACTTCTCTGAAAGCTTTCTGTCTAACATAACAATGCACTAAGATGAAACCACAGCATTTTTCCTTACGTGCATGAAGTAACCAGATAAGAGAGATTTCTTAATGTTGAGTATATTTGCTTTGGATCCAAAGTCCGGTTCTGAGATGGGAAGTTCAATTCGCTTCATTATCTCCACTAGTTCAGCTCTGATAATTTCTGCCATCCTCAGGGCAGAGCTGCTTAGAAAATAATCACGACACCATTTCTCAGTGCTGTAGTCTGTGGAGGAAAAAAGAGGTTTGGCTTCAAGCAAAGTCTCACTGATGGGTACTATCCATAGAGGTACTGCTCTGTGAAATGCTCTTTGGTGCAATAGATCAAAACAGTGTGTGGCTGTGTCAGAGCTGGCAATACTCAGGTAGCAAGAGCTGTATGGACAGCTTGGGCTCACTGATGTTGTGACATGAGGGGCAATACTTGATATCCTTAAGTTCACAGATTTGAAACTATATCTTTGAATAAAACTATGCAACATCTCTTATTTGGTCTGTAAAGGGTAAAATGAGTAGCAACTCTGTTTCCAGGCTTTCAGGATGTGGAACTGGAATCGCACCTATAGTGCTAGTGATGATCCTGCATGCTGGGAAGAGGCAGGTTCTCTTGCACCTCTCCAGCATTTAGCATGACTGAATGTGAAGGAACCCTACTGTCCTTTAAGCTTTTACTTAGTACAGGCAAATTCATCATTCCTTTGCCTAATTACTGGGCTTAGGCTAAGCGAACCTGAGCAAGATGCTTGCGCACAGGGAAATGCCGAGAAGAGCTTCTGTCTCCTGGCTTCTATTTGGTTTCCTGTAAATCTGAACTTTTTTTTGCCCTTTAAACTTCCTTTTAAGTTGAAAGCTGTCATAAAACCACCAGAACTGTGTGGCTGCTGGGGGAATCCAGCCCCTCCTCAACTGTGTTTGTGTTGTTTTACATCTTAAACCTGGATTACATGCTATTACAGGAGGAAGCATCGTTCTGGTTTGTACAATGTCACTTCAAATGACCATTGTAATAGTGTTTAGGTATCCTTGTTGGATGAGGTCATTTTCAGCTAGTTAAAAACCTGAAACTAATATTCATTTGTACTGGTTAGGCCAGGTGGGATGGGACATGGAGCAAGCTGCTCTAGTGGAAGGTGTCCCTGCCTATGGCAGGGGTTGGAACTGGATGAGCTTTAAGGTCCCTTCCAACCCAAGCTGTTCTATTTATTCTACCTTTGGTTTCTCCCCGCAAGTCAGCAATTCTAGATGGAATCAGTCAAAGAGGGCCTATGAACTAAATGCCAACAAGGACAGCTCAGGTTTTGGTTTTGTTCCAAATTGCTTACAACTTGCTTCACGTCGCATGCTCTGGGTACACTTACATTGGCTTGTGGAGTTTGTGCTGGCTTCCTTGAAGGCGTTGAAGACATTGATAAGAGTAAAGTGATCTCCTGCAGGGTGGAAGAACTTTCGCCAGCAAGTAAGAGCAATCTTTTCTGTTCCAGGAGGTGCGTGTAAGAAGCAATGAGGAGCTTAGAAAAAACATCAAACCAGTGGTTATTAAGGCACATAGGTGCATGCACAAGTACTAACTCCATTGGAATTCTTACTTGGCTTCCTCAGTTCCCTTTAGCCTTCAAAGTTGGATTGCTGATGGAGAGCTGAATCTGTTGCATTCACTAAGGTCTTATTTATATGGATGTCCTTTCAATCTTGTTTAGTTAATTTGTGCCCTAAACACAAATGAAGGTGAGCAGCTTTCTCCTGCCAAAATGCTTCATAACGGCATGATCCAATTTATCCATAATTCAAGCATGTGGTTTCTTTAATGTAGAAAGAAACTAAATCTATGGATGTGACGCCTTAATTTGGTGCTGTATGTTGAAATTTGCACCTCTCAGTGCATTTTACATGTGTTGTGGTGCTGTGCAACATAACTGTGTCTTTCAAGATAGTTGAGCTTTATGAAAACTGAGGTGTGCCTGTGCTCAGTCATTGACATTTGTTGTATGTGCTTAAAAACTTTATACATGTTTTGGCCCACTGTTGAAAATCAAGCCAGCTTGGGCATAGAAACAAGTTGTTCCATAAACACAGCTAAAGCAGCTTGGTGCCCTGTGGGTTCATGTCCTTGCTGCCTAAGACTGGGCTCTGTGTCTAGGATATCCCCTGTGGGTAGAGCAAAGTAATGCCGTACCAAAATACAGGTAGGGTTAAGTGGGTGTTGAGCAGTCAGTAGCTCTCAGGTATTAGAT